TTCCCGTTTCCTTGGAACTGTCGAACGAACTGCCTTGATCTCATTTTTCTTTTGGAAATAATGAGCGATTTGCTACTCAGCTTGTTGGCTATCTGTCACAAGAGGCAGAATGAATGAAGAATTTAGGCTTACTTTATTGGTGGGAAGTCAAAGTCTGTATATACACTAGTACCTTTTAGGGTAACCGTTCATTTACCTTGAGGTTACCAACAGTTATAAATGGATTTGAAATAGATAGGAGTTATAAATGAATTTGAAATAGATAGGAGTAGTGAAATTATTACTCATCACATATATGGATAAGATAAGGTATTCGGTATCTGTTATTAGCTAAATTAAATAGATTTAGGGTCTCTACGAGTATCTTATCTATCTATTAGTAAAAAAATGTGTTTTAAATAAGTTTGAGTTTAAACACGTTTAAAACAAATTTAAACAAGTTTGAAACGAATATAAATAGTCAAATTTTAAACGGGTTTGGATACAACTACTTAAATAACTATTTAAATGGATATTAAACGTTTTATACAGACAGTAAAATTTTAAGCTATTACGTACTCACCTCGCTTCTATCCCTACTTGTACATACTCTTCTCAAATACTAAACTATATGTACTACATGAACTTTTAAGTTAACTAGTCTTTTTCACGATGACGCACGTTGATTATGCTCGTTATAAACTCATTTTTATACTTTTTTAATTTTTTTGTTTATATAATATTAAAATATAATTTTTTTATTTAGATTAAAATAAATACAATTGGTTAATTTGTATTAGATTTTAGCATACAAATTATTTGTTGCTACTTATGTACTTATTTTATTTTTATATAATGAAAGTGGTCTTAAAATAATCTTCAACCTCATCTTTAAACATAATCTTTTAGTCTCTAATTTATAAAAGTAGATTTTTTAAATCATAATAGGTGTCCAAAAAGAAAATAGTCATGACTCAATTTCCAATTTCTGCCCTCAAACCCAAATCAAGATCTATATACAAATATAATAAATAATAATAATAATTTATTTTTTACTGTTAGGTAAAAAAAAGGAAATGAAAAGATATAATGATAATTACTTTTAGTTATAATGATAATATTAGTGCATTAGAGAAAGGGATATGTGCACATAAATACAAATTCTTGAAATTCCAAAAAGTGACTAAAATAAAAATATATAGTTATAATATTTTTTTTCAATTTCATGAACATTATTTTTTTTCAAGTCAAACAGATTTAGACTATAAGAGAAAAATATTAAGAAAATTAAAAATACTTAATCATCAATAGATATAAATCTCTTATTAAATTAAAGTGATAATAATTCAAAATTAATTCAGTAACGAAAAGAAAATAAAAAATAAACTTTATTACTACTCCCAATTAAAATGTCATCAACCAAAACCAAGAGAATAATAAATCTTCAGCTTCATTGAATAATGAATAATCTGATATTTTAACCAAATATTATTTATATTTTAGATTAAAATATTTTAATTGATGGATATTGTAGAAAATATAATATAAAATTCCATTGAAGATATTTTTAAAAATTCTATTATTTGCACGTTTATTTTATACAAGTTTTTTTTATGACATGCGTTGCACGTTGAGTATGCTCGTTATATGCCCATTTTTTACACTCATTTAATTTTTTATTTATATAATATGAAAGTATAAATTCTTATTTAGATTGTCTTTAAAATACATTACACTTTATAGATACACTAAATTTTTTTTTTGTTATATATTAATGTATCGGTTCAAACAGTTTTTATTGTATGTTAGTTGCTTTTATTTTCTTTTTAAAGAAAAACCAAATTGATTTATAAAAATTATTATATAACTTCTATTATAAGTTTTATAATTAATTTACATGTTTTGTTAATAACTTTCACGATAATCTCTTGTAGTAAATAAATATATTTTAATAATAGAATAAAAAATCAACCTAATAAATCAAATTAAATATTTATAAATATATTTTAATATAGAATAAAAATCAACCTAATAAATCAAATAAATATTATAAATAATAATAAAATTTTTTCATTTTCATTTATTTTTTTAAGCCAATTAAAATCATGAAAAGCAATTTAAAAAATTATTAATAAAATTATATTCTTTAAATAGAATAGGATTTGAATTATATAAGATATTAATATAATTAATAAAATTCGAGATGTTTAAAAATAATAAATTTTTTATCTTAATTTTTCCGACCAAAATTAAGAAATGAAATTTGGTAAAATTAAAGAAAATTTTAATCATATTCCCTTTTAAATCTAAATTGAATCATCTAGATATATTTATTAATAAATTTAAAAAAATAAAAATTAAATATCCCCCTCGTATTTACAATATTATTTAAAATAAATAATGTTGAAGCTAAATTATTAAATTAATAATAATATAAATTATTATTATAATTTAACTAATAATATAATGAAGAATAAATATAATTAAAACATAATAAGATAATTATAGTAAAAATTTAAAAATTTTAAAAAATGCATAAAATACTATATATATTTAATCTATTAAAAAGTAAAAAAAAAATCCAACCAAATTATGAAATATTATATATATTTTTAGGTTAAAATTTTTTAAATATATTTTTAGGTTAAAATTTTTTAATTATTTAAAACTAAAGTTATTTTAGAATATCTTAAATTTCACAAAAATAATATCAGCAATTTTATTATTTTCCTTTATTTTATATATAATATAGATAGATAGATATAGACATTCTCTCGTATCTATTTATCGATAACCAAAAACATAATAATTGGACTAGATTAGATTGAACACCTTGAAAAAACCTGACCCGCCTTCCCTAGATCTACCCGTAAATTTAACTTGTGAATTACAGTGGTGATAAATGCACTATTTTAAGTACATTGAATCTATATTCTAAAAAAAAAAAAATAAGAAGTACACTGGATCCACTCAAAAAAGGAAAAAGGAAAACATGTCGCTTTAAAGTTTCTATATTATTTATTTTTAAAAAATTTTCCATATTATGCTTTTTCAAATACAGAGATTTCGAACTTTGAATTATTAATCTTGTAAATAAAATTCACCTTGGAAACATAATTCACATGGGAAGCATTTTCATAAAATTTGAAAAAGATATTCTGGAGAATGAGAAATATGGGAATAGGGTTAAAATGAGGAAATAATTGTAGAAATATCCAAGTGATGTCCATTAAAAGATATGTGCTAGAGAGTAATGGCAGTGGCAGACAACCAAATTTTATAGATATGAAGATACTTTTATGCCCTTTTTTTTCTGATTAACCACAAACAATTATAGCTGGCTATGCTTCATATCCTACGAAGATCCTTCAACCATAGAATCTTAATTTTTGGTACTCTTGTCTATTTTCCTCGAATCTTGTTAGCCTGCTGGCTTATATATGATACATCTTTGTCACCTATGCTCTGCTTTTCCATTGGGGAATTTAGAGTTGCACGCTTTTTTATAATTTTAGTTTCTCAAATACATTAAACAAAAAAAAAAATATTTAAAATGTTATTTTCTTTAAGATTAGATCAAATGCTATAAAATAATTTATAACTATTGATACAGCTAGCAACTATTAAGTCAATTAATTTTATCCTAATTGTTAAGATATTAAAAGGTTAAAAAATAATTTTTTTTAGTCACGGAGGAATGATTTTTTAAAAAAAATTATAAATTTAAAGTTAATTCACATGATATTTTTTAACATCGAGATAATGTTCAGTCCTAATTCAACCGTTAATTTTACTTGAAATTAACTATGTTCGTACCTAGGGATTATATTTATATATCAAAATCATAGTATAAAGTGATTGATTTGCTATCAATCACACCTACCCAACTAGTCCTCATTAACACATTTTATTTCCCTTTCTATTGAATTGCATCATGGAGATTTAAAAGAGCTATCATGTAGGTTCCCCGGTTTCCCATATCAATCAAATCATACATATTTGGATTAGAAAGAAAAAAAAAATCCAATGAAATATGTATTACATGGACCGAATTTATTTGTTTTAATATTTATTTAACATCAGTTGTTATATCAAACGCTAAAGCATAATGTTTCATAATTTTTATTTTTAAATTTTAAATATTAATATAAATACTATGTTAAAGAATAATATAAATAATAAAAATAACGTTTTAATTTAATCAAAACATTAAACTGTATACGAGAAGCGGTTGACGGAGCATAATCATGTATGTTAATTAAAATAGGGTTTGCTTAGCAACAATTGTCAACTTGAATCTTTTCTTCATTACAAGTAGCTATCAGAAAAGGATCTATGGAAACCAACGGTGCAGATTCTCTCTAGTGTCCCATCATTATCACCAATTCATATATGTATTTGTGCTTTTAATAAATTTTTTTTTTCTTGCTTTTCATCTTTGTTAAGAAATCTTGAGTAGATAGATTCTTAATACCCTTATTTATATTTACAGACCCAAATGACATTAGAAAAGGGCAATTTGTAAACCATTAATTGGCTAACATCTGATCATTGATTGGATCAACAAAAGCAGATGCCCACTTCTTCTCTTGCTTTGTTCTTCTGCCACCAAAAAGCAAGATGCCCAACTTCTTCTCTTGCTTGTTCTCTGGCCACCACGTAATTCTCACTCAACATACAAATTTCTAATTTTTTATTACAATTACTCCTCTTAACATAGGTCAATACTTCTATTTCTTTTATATTTTAATAAATTTAAAAAATGTTTAAGTATAGTTATCGTAATAGTGGACTGAAATTATTTAAATATAATATTATATATCCTTATTTAGTATATATGATATATATATATATTATATATATATTTCTATATATTTCTTCTTTTATCCAATAGGAGCGAATTAAAAATTTTAAAACAATCATGCCCACGGCAGCTTCGCGTAGGCCAACTGTATGAACTTTAAACTTAAAAACCAAAAAACAAGAGCTCCGAATCAGAGATATTGTAAATGCAACTTATGCAAGAAGAAGCTCAGGCAACAACATTCGCTTTTATAACCAAACATCATTAGTCCACCAGAGGATCTTCCAAACTCATTGGAGAACAGAAATCACTTTGTAGTGAGAGAAAGAGAGAGAGTTTCCTCCAAGAGAGAGAAGACAAATTGCACTTTCCATTATTTAATATATTAAAGAAAAAAAAAACAACAACCCACCAATCAATCAATCAATCAATCAAAAACTCTATAAATTAAAGCTTCCAATGAATAAATAATGTTACCTCTTTCTCCTTGAGTTAATGATGTGTTGCTTCCTTTCTTTTGCTTGTGCAATTTATATGCAGTGATGAGTAAGTAATAAGTTACCAAACCCGGCACAGCAACTTCCAGTCCTCACTGTCATTGGGGTCTGTTTCTTTGTTTCTTTCTCTCCTTCTTTCTTTCTTGGTCTCTGTTTTTTTTTTTTTTTTTTTTTTTTTTTTTTTTTTTTTTTTTTTTTTTTTTTTTTTTTTTTTTTTTTTTTTTCCCATTTTCTTTGTCAATTTTGATAAGAATAGATTAACTTTTGTGTAATTTAGGTTAATATTTTTTCTGGGTTTGATTGCTTTATTCCAATTTTATCAGGGATGGGCAATGCTAGTGGCAAAATTGATGAAGAAGACACTTCAGGAGAGGGTTCACACGTTGGGTATTATGCGCCAGGTGCATATGCAGAGGCAGAGCCCATGGCACACTCCCCTTCCAATAGCCCTACTAGATACCAACAGCCTCTTCTCTCTTTGAGTCCACAGGTCTGATTTTTCCATATATGTATGTGTTTGTATCTCGGTGGTTGGACCTTGGGATAGTTAAACTAAATTTATGTAATCAATTGAATCTTCTTTCTCAATATATAAGATTATATATATATATATATATATTATATATTATTTCAATCATTTGTTAACTTTTGTAGTTTATGTGTTAAGTCTTTTCCCCAGCATCAAAGTGAGTTTAATTGCTTATCTTTTATATTAATAGAATTGGTTGTAATGTATATATATATATATATATATTATTTCAATCATTTGGTTAACTTTTGTAGTTTTATGGTAAGTCTTTCCAGCATCAAGTGGAGTTAATTGCTTATCTTTTATATTAAAGATTGTTGTATGTCTTGTTAGTTGTGAGAGTTATTTGCAAAATGCACTGGGTGTTTTTCACTTTGTTTTATTAAGTGAATATGTCTTAGAGACATAATTTTGTCAGAATACTTTGGTATATCATTGTGTAAGATATGTATGGTTATTCTTTTCTACTGGGATTATTTGGAATCATATGTGCAAGTCTTGAATAGATCTCCGTTTAAAAGAAAAAAAAAGGCTCATGTGAGTGAGACTCCAACCGACAAAGAATATCAAGAACTGGCTCCAACTAATTTGGGACTAAGAGTTAAACGAGTTGAATTTGAGTAATTGTAGTTGAACGCATTGCTTACAAGAGAAGTTTGTTTGCATAATTAGGCATGCATAAGCACAAGGATAGGTGCATTTTTCTATTTCGTTTTTTCCAATTTCTGAATTGAATTTGCCAAAATTTAATGCCCAGGTTCCTGCAGCAAGACCTTCTGAAGTGATGCATTTCCACAATTACGATTGGGTGCAGAACACAATAGATTACAGGGATGCATTCAGTGAGAAACTGAACCCTGTAATGATAACATGGAGTTATGGTGGCAAGCAAGTTGCTGTCACTGGATCATGGGATAATTGGGATAAAAGGTTTTGAAATTATTTTCTGTTTTCATTTAGTTTTGATCTTCAGAATATACTTTTTTGTTCATCTGCAGTTCTTTAAAGAGAAAATTATCTGTTCATTTTCTCAGGCAGCCTTTGCATAGATCAGGTAAAGATTTTGTTATTTTGAAGATGTTCCCATCAGGCGTTTTTCGATACCGCTTCATTGTTGATGAACTATTGAGGTACGCTCCAGACTTGCCATGGGAATGTGATGATTCAGGGATTGCCTACAATATTTTGGATGTACAGGTAACTTGGCATTAGTTAATTGTTATTAACCTTTTCTGTCTCTAAATGATAGACTATGAATAACAGATTCTTCTTTCTGCCATTTATAACTAGAACTAGAACAGTAAAATTAATCTAAAAACAAATTTTAATGACTTCTTATCAATATTTTCAACATTGTGCTTTTCTCCAGAGCAGCTCAAAAAACAATACCAAATTGTCCCTTTATCTCAGTATTAAATATCAGAATTTTGCCACTCAGTCCTCCTTGCTAATTGAAAAAGTGAACAAGGTCATGTTGGTTCTTTGGTTTGCCTTGCTGGATTTGTAAACCATTTAATCACATTAAACAACATACATCACCTCCCTGCAGGTGATAGTCTAATATGCTTAAACGTTTTCTTATTTATTTTTATTTATTATTATTTTTCTTTTTGGGAATATTCAAGTGCTGCATTCTTTTTCTTTTCTTTTTTCAGTTGTATAATCCATCAGAAATCTGTTAACTGTCTAATTCTACAAGTGAAAATAAATCTGCAATTGGTACTTTTTTCATTCACATTTGCATTAACTGCCTATGTTGTTGACATTAGTAGATATCCATTTGTAGTTTAGCATTACTGAGGATATAAACATTTGAAAACGCCTTCATCCCTGTTAGACATAGTTTTGAAGCAAATAGTGAATTATGTTCATGGCAGACAAATTATTGTGAGATAGAAGAGAATTATGAGCATTTGTGCATAGTAAATAAGTTTCTATGAGTTTGTTTTTAACTTTTGCTATCTGCTTTGCAGGAGGATGTTCCAGAAGCTCCAGAAAGCCTGTCCGAGTTCGAAAATTCTCCATCCCCAGTAACAAGCTACAATAACGAGTCCTTGGATGATAATGATTTCAGTAAGCAGCCTCCTGACCTACCTCCACAACTTCAACTGACATTGCTGAACGACCGATCTTCTGCTTTAGAAAATCAGCAGTCACTTCCAAGGCCTCGACACGCTGTGTTGAACCACCTTTATATTCAGAACAATCGAGCTCAGCCAGTTGCACTTGGCTCGACTCATCGCTTTCTTCAAAAGTATGTGACAGTAGTAATATACAAGCCCTCACGGCGATGAAAAGTAATACCATATTCTTTTGATGTTATAGATATCAGCATGGATTGATTTGACACAATAGACCTTGTGAATATCGAAATTCATGGAAATGGTAAATTAAGAAGAAAAAAAAAAAAGCGCGTGTAGAAAAATGTTATAGTGTTTGCTGCAAAATTCCTTATTCAGTTGCTATTTTGAACATGATATAGTTCTTTTTCTTTCATTTGTAACCTCTGGTTCTTGTGCAAGGCTTCAAAGATAAAGAAAAATACTACTAAATTCACATATATGGGAATGTTCATCTGATGCCCTTGAAAATTCTGTTAGATTTTAGCAAACTGCAATTTTAGCAATGTTAGAAGGGTCACTAGGTATGTAATCTGGAGTTTTTACTACGTTCTTCAAGAGCTTTGATTGATACAGATAGCTGCATAATGATTATGTTGTTTCTTGCCTGAATATAAACTCTGTACAACTACAAGTTTTAATATCTGCGCTTTGACTCTTCTTCAATCATACAATACAATTCAACTAGTAAACACAAAATTGCAGATATGAGCTGTTCATATTAGCAGAGTTAATCAACTATTAAAGAACAAAAGTAACTCACGATTTTATTGGATTGAATTGTAGTTTGCTTCAGGAATCCACAAGATGACCATTCCTATTTAGTGTACATATAATGCTTATATATCTTAAAACTGACATGACTGAATAAACTAAATCAATCCAAAATTTTCACTTTAGCTGCTATTTTATTGGAAAAATCACCGCACCGGTACCTTAATCCAACCATTAGCAAAAGCAATAGCTAAGATAACAAATGGGGTTGACATGCCAAATATGATAATATAAGGAAGAGGGGTCTTCATAGGATTCTCTCCTTCCCTTTCTCCTGCTGTTTGCCAATACCTGCAATTTCACCATTAATGAATAATTTCAAAATAAATGCAAATTCTATCACATGTTCGTTAAATTTCAAAAGTGCAAGCAAATAGAACAGAATACTTAACTGTTCAGGTTCTTCTTCTCTGGTTATGAATTTCTTCTTCCCTTTTGGCTTAAGTTCTCCATCTCCTCCACCTAAAAGTATCAATTATGAAAACAAAAATTAGTGAGAACTAGATATCACGTTCAATTTTTGGTTCAATAATCGAGTGTTTGTGTTGTATTATTAGAGTTTCAGGGATCAAACACTAATCCAAGAAATTAAAAGAAGCATTACTTACCAATGGCATGGATTTTGAAATGATGAATACTTTTCTTTGATGAACTAAGAGCGTCAGATAAAGGAGATAATGATGATAAATTGGGCAGGAAAGGTATTTGAGCGCTGAGACAAGAAGAGAAAGCCAGTTTGGCTGCCATTTTCAAAGAGCTTGTAAGCTATGTTTGCCCATTAATTCCTTCAATTTATTATATATTTTTCACTAAATTTGAAGAAGAAATAGAGAGCCAGTAACATTTGCAGTTCAGAACACTAACCTTATCCAAACCAACACACAACTAGCATGCTCAAGTGTCCCATTTCTCCCCCTTACACAGATTTTAAAAAATAAAAAATATTTCTTCATTATGTGTGGTAACCAATTATTGGCTCTCTAATATACAATATTCTAAAATAATGTGTTCAAAAATTGGTAATTATGAAAAAGAAAAAAAACCCCTGAATTTCTAGTTTTTTAATTGCAATATTTTTGTTTTAAAAAAAAATTACCCATTTATAGAATTTTATAATTATTTACATCAATTTTACTATTTAAAGGTACTTATCAACATTACTAGGAAACTTTTAATGATAATTAAATTTTAATTTAAAATATGGCTTATGAGGAATATAAAATTTATATATTTTTTTAGTAAATTAGAATATGACTAATATAAAATATCACCAATGAACTTATAAATATAATTATAATTGAATCTTAGTTAAATATTTTTTTATTAGTATCATGATATATATTAGTATAATTATACTTAAAAGTCTAGTGTATTTTAAGAATTATAATAACTATAATTAATTATAACTTATTAAGTATATTCTTTAATAAAAAATATTAAATTTAATGCTTTATATAATATTTTGTTATTAAAATTACTATAATATTGAAATATAATTATAGCTTTTTAATTAATAACTAGCAATAATAATAATAACTTTAATAATAATAATAATAACAACAGAAGTAACTATTTTTACCATCAAAACGACGTAGTTTTTATGTGGGAGGTTTAAATGACTCCACAAACGAAACTACGTCGTTGTTTAGCCAAGGGTTGCATTTTAATCGTACAGACAGACAATTCTCTCAAACTCGACCCAAGTCAAATGTATTTTCTGCTTCCTCCCTTCCCTGCGCAACTCGTTTTCCGCACTTCTACAGCCAGAGTCTTTTTTTATACTTTCCCATTGCTTTCGTTCTTGGCCATCGCCTCCGCAGCAGCCGTGCTCTTCAAGCGTACAAGTGCCGGGTTCGTTCTGGATTTTTTTTATTTCATTTTCAGTTTTTTTTTTTTTCGTTTTGCTTCGTCCCTTTTCATTTTTTTTTTTTTATATATATAAACACATATAAACAGAAAAAGAAGAGCAATTGTTGAATTAGTTTATGGGTTTAGCCGAGATTATTTGCATATTGTTTTAATTTTTGTTTATGGGTTTTGTGCATGTTTTATTTGTTGAAAAAATATATATAAAGGCGAAAGGATGGTGAATATAAGCCAATTCTGGTCTGTTAAGTGAAATCTGATATGTTTGGTATGTTGTTTCAAAGTTTGGTTCGTTAATAATGATTAAGATTGTCTAGAAATACTGAGAATGAGATTAATTGCATATAATTGTCATATACTGAGAATGGTTTGTTAATTATTCTCCTGCTAAAGTTATTCAAAGTTTGGTTTTCAATAATAGGATTTCAAATTTCAAATTTGATATTGTAAATGAGGTTAGTTACAAATTTGATAAGCAAAACGCGTTAAAAGGAATCTGCTTTTTGTACAAAATGTGAAAGCAAAACAAGTTAACAGGTTTAATTTGTTCTTGTTTTTATTTTTTTACATGAGATATTTATACAAATCTATCTAAGAATAAGCTTTTAAAAGAAATAACACAAATCACATAGGGGATTAAATACAGGGTTTAATATTTTGTATTTTGTATAGGGCTGAATTTTTTATTTTTTAGTGTTTTGTGATTTTATATAGGGCTCAATTTTTCTATTTGAGAAGGATATAGGGCTGACTTGGATAGCTTGTTTTAGTCATATTGCTGGACTTTGAATTTTTCTTCATTCATTCTGCCTCTTGCGACAGATACCCAACAAGCTGAGTAGCAAATCGCGCTTTATTTCCAAAAGAAAAATGAGATCAATGCAGTTTGTTCGACGGTTCCAAGGAAACGGGAAATAAGTTTACCATTTTCTTTTTTAACTGTATTTCGGCTGCACCATTTTTATCTGCTCCTTGAAATCTCTTGCCATATGCCCACTCCACAGGCCATAATCCCTTACTGCGCCTCCCTTCTTGACAGCTGCACCTCCACAAAAAACCTCAAATCTCTTCTTCAAATCCACGCTCAAACAATAACTAATGACGTTTATCATCATGAATTCATTCGTTCAAAACTAATCTCTGCCTATGCCTCCTGTACCCAAATGCGCGAAGCCACTCTTCTCTTCTCCTTCACCAACCGCCAAACCACTTTCCTTTTCAACTCCATTATCAGGGGTTACGCCTCTCTCAACCTTTTCTCCCAATCGCTTTCCTTCTTTCATCGCATGCTTTCTGCTAATAAGCCCATTGATCACCATACCTTGCCTAGCGTGCTAAAATCTTGTGCTAGTCTATCGGCTTGTAGGCTTGGACAACAAGTCCATGGGATAGTTTTGGTAAATGGGTTTGTTTTTGATTTAGCAAATTCGAATGCTTTGATTAATATGTATGCAAAATGCGGAGATTTAGAAGGCGCAAAGAAGGTGTTTGATAAAATGCCTGTGAGAAATGAGGTTTCATGGACAACAATGATGATGGGTTGTGGGATGCATGGGAAAGTAGGTGAGGTGTTAGTCTTGTTTGAAAGAATGGTGGAAGAGGGAATGAAGGTGGACGCTGTTACTTTTACTGCAGTTTTGAGTGCATGTAGTCATGGAGGGATGGTGGAAAAGGGGAAAGAGTATTTTGGTATGATGGAGGAGAGGTTTGGGGTGAAGCCTAGTTTAGAACATTATACTTGCATGGTGGATATGTTAGGCAGGGCAGGAAAGATAGAAGAAGCTGAGGAGTTGGTAATGAGGATGGAGATGAAGCCTGATGGTGCATTATGGTCGGCTTTGTTGGGGGCCTGTAGGATTCACACCAAGGTGGCTGTGGCTGAAAGAATTTCCAAGAGTATTCTTTGGAGAAGATTGAATGTAGCATCATTTAGTGAATGATTGCTGACATGATGTAGAAATGCCATAGATCAACCGTAAAGAATGCTGGAAGTTGAAGATGCCTTTTCCACTATTGGAGTCTTCTTTATTGCCTAAGTTACCTGCATTGGATTGAATATGTTAGTGGAGGTACAAGGAGGACATGCTCTTAGTGGTTGCATAAGAGAAAATTTAATGATTTGTTCATTCAAATATTAAAGTTATTATTGTATCAACGTCCTATTGTTTCCAATGAGCACATTTTTGCAAAAATGCAGTCGATTTATAGCTCCAAAGTGCAATCCAGTTCTCATCCGATCCAAACTAAGAGGACAAGGTCATTCAAAAAGAAAAAATAAAAAACACTAAAACAAAAACCAGTATTTTGTAAGGTACAAGGAGGACATGCTCTTAGTGGTTGCATAAGAGAAAATTTAATGATTTGTTCATTCAAATATTAAAGTTATTATTGTATCAACGTCCTATTGTTTCCAATGAGCACATTTTTGCAAAAATGCAGTCGATTTATAGCTCCAAAGTGCAATCCAGTTCTCATCCGATCCAAACTAAGAGGACAAGGTCATTCAAAAAGAAAAAATAAAAAACACTAAAACAAAAACCAGTATTTTGTATCTAAACTCTTAAGGAGGTAGAAGGCAAAAGCCTCATTGCAAATTTATAAAAGCAACCATCATTATGAATTTATGATGCCCTCCGGTTAGCTCTCTTATTAATCTGTGACTTATGATACCCTCCTCCTTCAATCAACTTCTTAACAGCAAGACTCAATGGAAATAAGGCTCATAGCTTTTTAACCAACAAATTTCATAAACTAGCAGTTTAAGGACATGCATAGTTTCCCTTCAAATATCATCTGTTTTTGGGCTTGCATAGGTCCCTTTAACAAATCTTTCTACAGTTTATGGACATGTCCCTTCAAATGTATATTTTGCAGTTTAGAGACGTAGTGGTCTCTTAAAAATGGGGTTTTTCACAACCCAAAGCACAATAAATTTCCTATTTGTTTAAGGCACAACCAAACACAACTTTCCTTTTCTTGGAAAAAACATAGCATAACCAACATCAAACAACCTCTAAAACATTGAAGGAAAAACCACAATTTTGATGAAGTTTCCATGCTTCATCTTCAATCGAAAATTTGAAACTCTAAGATTGATTTTTTCAAACAAGTTTTTTAATGTCTTTAGCAAATTTAGAAAATATCATTAGAGCTCTGTTGGAAAATGGAGATAAGGAGGAGAAAATAAAAATAAACACTACAACAACTAACACCAAAATAAAAATAAATTTGTGTAAACGGGTATTTAAACGGATTCGGGTAGTATGTGGGTATTTCTAAACGGATTTGGGACGGGTTTGGGTATTATTGCTTTATTCCTTAACGTATTCAGCACGGATTTGGATACTTAAATTAATAATGGGTTCGGATTCAGGTAATTGTATTTCTTGCGGGTACCTGCCCCGTTGCCAATCCTATTTATGTTGCATCATTCTACCATCATCACCACAATTGCTAGATTATAACAAATACACTTTTCTCTTCAAACTCCAAAATAGCAATCTGTCTATCGAACTACATCCTACTCAAATTTCATTGCAAGAGTTAGTCAATCATTATAAATTATCTCAACAAAATAGTGATTGCTTCACTTCCTCAATAATTTACTGTCATTTTGATAAATTAAGCGAAATATAGTTAAAAATTACTAATAATTTATTGTAACTTAACCCAAATGTGACAAGTATTTGGGAATGGATGGAGTATTAAGTATTTTATCTACTCTTTTGGGAATTTGCATATTGAAATGCCCATATTTTTGTGTCTTGGTCTTTGAATGTGAGTTATGGGACCAAAGATTGTGGAATTTAACCAGGAAATTTGACAATCAAGGTTTGTGAATTTTTGTATATTGAAAGTCTATCAAACTATACATATGTGTGCTTTTTTTTTTTTTTTTTTTTTTTATATGTGTGCTTTTTTTTTTTTTTTTTTTTTTGGGGGGGGGGGGGGGGGGGGGGGGGGGGGAGGAGGGGGAGAGGGAGGAGGATCATTATACTTTGGGGGGGAGGGGGGAGAGGGAGGAGGAATCATTATACTTTGTAGTTTGAATTGCTATTCATCTGAATGTATGTCTAACTTTCATGTTTGATCTGCATTATTCGAATTGAAATTGAACAATGTGTCATGGATTTTTGTAGGGTGTATTCAATAATACTATGTTTCGTTGCTTCTTCACATCCAACAGTAAACAACGAGTTCTTTATAATTCAAACCCTTCCTTCACTACTTTTGCTGCCTCTCCTCTACTCCCACCACCACCACTGCTGGAAAATAATAAATCCACTTTTCTTTTGAAACTCCAAAATAACAATCCGCTCATAAAACCTGCTCCTACTCGAATTCCGTTGCAGGAGTTAGTCAATCATTATAAATTATCTCAATCTTACCTAGAAAATACTCCCATTTTACCACATGATCCACATTGGAATTCTTTTGATGTATATGAAGATTTGATTCATGCATATAAAGATTCTTGTTGCCGAAAGAAGTCTAGACAGTTCCATTCAAAGATATTTAAGTATGGGTTTGATAGTGATTTGTTTTTATGCAATACCCTTATTAATGGTTATGTTAGAAGTGGTGATTTGGTGTCAGCTGGTAAGTTATTCAATGAAATGCCGGAGAAGAATGGTGTTACATGGGCATGTTTGATTTCAGGGTATACCCACAATGGCATGCCTGAGGAGGCATGTGAGATTTTCAAAGGGATGATTTCTGAAGGGTGTTTGCCTAATCGCTTTGCTTTTGGTGGTGCTCTTCAAGCTTGCAAGGAGCTTAAACTTGGGATGCAAATTCATGGGATGATTTTGAAGTCTCCCTATGCAGGTGATGTGGTTTTGTCAAATGTGTTGATATCAATGTATGGAAATACTATGGGCTCTGTTGACCATGCTCGTCACGCTTTTGATGAAATAAATGTTAGGAATTCAATATCATGCAATTCTATAATATCAGTTTATTCTCAAAGAGGATATGCAGCTTCTGCCTTTGAAATATTCTCTAGCATGCAGAGAGATGGTTCTGGGTTCGATTTTAAACCAAATGAGTATACATTTGGAAGCTTGATAACTGCAGCTAGGTCTGCCATCAATTCCAGTATGCATTTGTTGGAGCAGATGCTAACAAAGGTTATAAAATTTGGATTTCTCTCGGATCTCTATGTGGGTAGTGCCTTAGTTAGTGGTTTTGCAAAGTTTGGATTGTCTGATTATGCAATGAAGATTTTTGAGCAGATGAGTGTGAGAAATGCAGTCTCTGTGAATGGCTTGATGGTTGGATTGGTGAAGCAGAGGTGTGGAGAAGAAGCTGCTGAAGTATTCATGGAGATGAGAAATTTGGTTGATATAAATCTTGATTCATATGTGATTTTATTAAGCGCATTTGCTGAATTTGCAATGTCAGAGGAAGGGAGGAGAAAGGGCAAGCAGGTTCACGGATATGCAATCCGAACTGGGTTGAATGACATCAAGATTGCTATTGGAAATGGGCTTATCAATATGTATGCTAAATGTGGTGCTATTAATGATGCTAGATCAGTTTTTAGGCTCATGGCTGACAAGGATTCAGTCTCCTGGAATTCCATCATTTCTGGTCTCGACCAAAATGACTGTTTTGAAGATGCAATCAAGTGGTACCATGCGATGAGGAGAATTGGATTTATGCCTTCCAATTTCACATTGATAAGTTCTTTAAGCTCATGTGCAAGCTTGGGGTGGATCATATTAGGCCAGCAAATACACAGTGAGGGGCTTAAATTGGGACTTGATTTGGATGTTTCAGTTTCAAATGCGCTTCTTGCATTATATGCTGAAACTGGATATCTTGCTGAGTGTCAGAAAGTTTTCTCCTTAATGCAGGGGTATGATCAAGTATCATGGAATACAGTAATTGGAGCATTGGCTGATTCAGAGGTATCAATTCTGGAAGCTGTAGAATTTTTCAGGAAGATGATGAGAGCTGGATGGAGTCTTAACAGAGTGACCTTCATAAACATTCTAGCAGCTACATCATCTCTTTCACAGATTGGATTGAGCCAGCAGATTCATGCGCTAATGCTGAAATACAACATTGTAGATGACAGTGCTATTGAGAATGCACTTCTTGCTTGCTATGGCAGGTGTGGAGAAATGGATTATTGTGAGAAAATCTTCTCTAGAATGTCTGAAAGAAGAGATGAAGTTAGTTGGAATTCCATTATTTCTGGACACATACACAATGAATGCTTGCCCAAGGCCATGGATCTGGTCTGGCGTATGATGCAAAAGGGTCAGCGATTGGACTGTTTCACCTTTGCCACTGTTCTTAGTGCTTGTGCCTCTGTTGCAACATTAGAGCGTGGCATGGAAGTCCATGCCTGTGCAGTAAGAGCTTGCTTAGAATCTGATGTTGTGGTTGGAAGTGCACTTATTGACATGTACTCAAAATGTGGAAGGATAGATTATGCATCAAGATTTTTTGAGTTGATGCCTGTGAGGAATGTGTACTCCTGGAACTCAATGATCTCAGGTTATGCACGTCATGGACGTGGAAATGAGGCTCTGACACTTTTCACTCAAATGAAGCTTGATAATCAATTACCAGATCATGTCACCTTTGTTGGGGTTCTTTCGGCTTGTAGTCATGTTGGTTTGGTTGATGAAGGATACAACCATTTCAAATCCATGACCGAAGCATATGGATTGGTTCCTAGGATAGAGCATTATTCATGCATGGTAGATCTCCTTGGACGGGCAGGTGAACTTGATAGGATAGAGAACTTCATCGATACAATGCCGATCGAACCTAATGCTCTTATTTGGAGGACAATTTTAGGTGCTTGCTCCAGAGCAAATGGTCACAAGACTCAGTTAGGTAAAAGAGCTGCTAAAATGCTTATGGATTTGGAACCTCAAAATGCTGTGAATTATGTTCTTCTTTCTAACATGTTTGCTTCGGCGAGGAAGTGGGAGGACATGGCAAAGGCTAGGCGGGCAATGAGAGAGGCAGCAGTGAAGAAGGAAGCTGGATGCAGTTGGGTAACCATGAAGGATGGAGTTCATGTTTTTGTGGCTGGGGATAAATTGCACCCTGAAAGAGATTTAATTTACAAAAAGCTCAAGGAACTCAACAGAAAAATTAAGGATGCAGGATATGTGCCTGAGACAAAATTTGCATTGTATGATCTTGAACCAGAGAACAATGAAGAACTCCTGAGCTACCACAGTGAGAAACTTGCAGTTGCTTTTGTCCTCACTCGCAATTCAGGGTTGCCAATTAGGATAATGAAAAACCTACGAATTTGCGGTGACTGTCACTCTGCCTTTAAATACATATCGAAAGTTGTTGGCCGTCAAGTAGTGTTACGAGATTCAAATAGGTTTCATCACTTTGTGGATGGTAATTGTTCTTGTGGGGACTACTGGTAATTTACATATTGGCTCAGTTCTTGAAGTTACTAGTGGATCAAACCCGGATCTAAAACCTGATGCATTAGAAATTGAATTCGGCCTCAATTGACTTTGCAAAATATTTTATTGTATCATTTTTACAGAGATGATGAAGAACTGAGAGCATGAACAAAGAGTGTAGTCAATGTAAAGTCCTCAAGGTCTACATTTCAAAATGGTTTATTACTAAGCTTGTTACACTTTAACATTTATGTTTTGACCAGATTTGTTTTATGAGAAGCTTGCTTTCAATGTTGATAATCTTATTTATCAATGTTTATTTTGGGTATTATTATAATGATTGCTTCCCGAATTTATTTTTTTAGTATTATATAACATGAAAATCCATTTTTTGCAGGTGGCATTTTTTGTGACTGTATTGTCAAAGGCTGAGAAGTTAAAGCAAGCCTTGAGAAATTACCTTGTGGGTTGTTTTGGTATGTGCCTTTTCCGCAATTGTTTAGTTTCTGCAATTCTTTTTCTTAGTTTCCTTTGCTTGTGCCAAAGATTTAGGGTCTTATTCAGTCTCTTTGTCTTTCCATGCTCAGCTTTGGAACTAGTTTTACGATACTTCCTCTTGATTTTTCACTTTCTGCTCTGCGATATTGGTGAATCAATCCTTAACTAAATTCTGTTAACAAGAAAAAATCCTTAGCTAAATTTATTCTTGCTTTATTGATGCTTTTTTTCATATCTAAAACTAAATTATTCTGCTAAATATTTGTATGTGATTCCTTTCTTGTGTCTTAAAATATTTGATGTGAAACCGGATCTATTTCGTTTTAGGTAATTTGGTATGCTGTGGGTAGTAAAATAACTACTTAATTATAATTTTAGCTTAAATTATTTTATTTGATCGTTATATCAATTAAAAATGTTATCCTTTTAAAAAGGTTTTCATTTCTGACAATTTTTTTAAAAAATCTCTTTCTTTGCAATTACTTGAACTGCAAATTTGCATGACATACTGAATATGTGTTTTATGGATTTATAGTTCTATGTTTTTAAATGGTTCTTCAGTTTGGTCATTATAAAAATAAACCAAATTCGTAGCCAGCTTATTTTTGTTTGTAGGTTGTTTGGGAACCGGAACATCCCCCCTTTTTTCCTTTTCCTTTTCCAGGAAAAAAAAGAGCATTGATTTTGCAACCCTCAAATTGAGGGGTTAGGGAGGGTTTACTTTCCCATATTATTCATTTTTTTAAACTCCCAAATTGTGCCTTTATATTTCTTCAATTTTTTTTCTTCGTTCTTCTTTCTTTGCTCATAGTTTAGGAAGAACTTATTTAATATCCATAAATTAATACTTCACTAAAAAAATAATTGTAACTAATTTACTAAACCTTTTATCACCCCATCCAAACAAGGCCTTATACATTCACTATTATGATTTTTTTAATATAATCTTTTTTCCATTATACTCTTTTCAATTGTCAGCTATAAATTGAGCATGTTGCTTTCTCTTTGATCACCTATTTTCCCATTTCTTTCCTTTTCTTGTCCTTTTCTTGTTTTCCTGCTTACATTCAATACAGTAAGAGTTTCTTAAGCTGATCCCACTTAAGCTGGTTACCAGCTGTGTTCTAGGTATGGCCGAAACCTTCAGCTGTCTTAAACAAGGTGCAAGACTTGAACCTCTTTGATGGCAATAGCATATCACTATACTATAGTTGTAATTTGCACTTTTTGTTTGAAATTTTAGTTAAAATAATACGTTGCGGAATTCTTACACTCAATAGGTGGTGTTTTATCTTTTCATTTTTAAATATCTTCATCAAGCTCTTAACTTCTTAACTTTTTCTTTTTTGTGCTTGTCCTCCTTTTGCACAGCAATCAAACAACATTAAGGTGTGCAAGTTAAAATATCTTTTATTACCATTGGCTGTGAAGCCGTCAGTAATACATTGATGTGGAAGCAGCAATGCCCATGTGGAGATTGGAATTGCTGTACTAAGAGTGAAGGAGATTATCAGACAGTCATTGAGCTCACATCTCGGTAAGAGTGTGATTATGTCAATGTCAGCAAGGAAGTTGTTTTCACTTGTGCGGGTCAAATTCGCAAAGTTATGATAATGCTTTTGAGTATTACGTCAATTTGGCTAGCAGAATCAGTTTTCAACGAGGAAAAGAAAAGGCATGATTGGGAATCATGGCTTTTAATTCTTACTAACCTGCTTTTGATCAACTAAAGCATGGATTGGGAATCATGGCTGAGAAGTTGCTAAGAATGTTATTCATGCCTTTCAGCTAGGCCGTATCTGTAATCATGAGTTGTTCTAGCACAATCAAGTGCATTTGGTAGAAGGCTGATCAAGGGTGAATTTTCTACTATGTAAAGTAGGGTTTCCTATCTGGCATACACCTGGTAAATTTTCTTCTTTTTCTGCAGGTTTGTATTTGATGCATGCATACTACTGGGAGAGAAGACATCCTATCTGGTATATACTGCTGTAGGTTATCTGGGGATATCTGTATTAAATGATCTGGCGAAAGAGGTGCTTTCAGAAAAAAGTTAGTTTGATTATTGTACATAACAAGAAGCTGCATTTAGTAACTGACTTTTCTAGCTAGATTGTGATATGATGTTTCAAATCAAAAATGCATTCAAAGATTTCTCCGGATGGCAAATTTATTTCCTTATTATGCTTTCATCTTAGCAGCACTGCAGTAGATATCATTAGTGTGTATGCTTGTCAATGTTAGTATTCCATTCTAAGATGCTTTGGTGCCTTCTCTTGTTCTAAAAATTTGTATACATAACGGTGCTGTTTTCTTATGATACCCTTGGACTGTGTGTTCATTACACTACTGTTTCCTCCCCCACAACTTCCCCCCTTTTTAACTTTGGAGTGTTGGTAGCTTTTATATTTTTCGTTATATGTACTTGAAGACTTCCTATCACTTCTGATCATTCTAAACATTGTTTCTCTTCTTACTGTTAGGTCATTCTGAGATGATCTGTACTTAATACCTCCCATTTTGGACTTTCAACCCCTATGACAATAATATCTTTAGAAATAAACAACCCTTATGTTTTTGTTTTGGTAATTATCTCTCTCTCTCTCTCTCTCTCTCTCTCTCTCTCGTTTTTGGACTTGGTATGCATGTCCTTTTTTCCCAACCATATGGGTTGATATATATTTGTCAGACAACTATAGAAATGGATGCTTTCCTGTGTTATTGGAAAAAATTAGTCCTTTATGTTTGTTCACATGGACACTGATAAGTTGATTTTTATGCTTAAAATTTGGATCTTGAAAGTATGACGACTATCAACCTCATAGATAGTTGTTTTCAGATTTTGAGCAGATGTAAGGTTTAATGAGTTTTACATTTTCTTTTGTTTCCCTTTTCAGCCCTAGGCAGGTTTTCATGTGGTTTGTTACCATACTTTTACTTGGGCATTGATTCTCTTATTAGTTAATAAAGTTTGTACTTCACAAGTGCTGAGGACATGTTGCAGCCATCTTGTTGCTAGGCTAGGTGTTTGCTTGAGCAATAACTTCTGTTTATCGGGTTCTTATGGTTGCTTTCTAAGCTGCATATTCCTTCCTTATAATCTTGATGGTATTCCGAACATCCTTTTCCTTTTCTACACTTAGTTTTGTTCTTTTGAGCGGGATTGTTTGTTTAACAGTTGTTATGATATTTTTCCTTCTTTACACGCACACCACACACAGACACACATGCTGGACATGCATCGTAAAAACTGATGTTTCAGGTGGAAGCAATTCAGTCTTCTAGAGGGCCAATGGCTGCTGATGGAATGGAAGATGTCCTTGAAGAGGAGGTGGGATATTGTGGAAAGAGAACCAATGGCCTATAAAGCGAGAATGCAAAAGGCAAAGAAGTTTGAGGTGTGCAGCGATATTATTCAAATTTATATTTTTTTTTTTTGGGTGGGTGGGGTGTTAGGATCGTCTTGTTGCATTGAGAACCTTCAGCCATTGTCCTTTTCGGGCTTTCTTTTGCATTGTGCTTCTACTTTAGTATTTTCATTCACTCATCTACTCATCTTCAGTATTTTATTTTTCATAAGCAATTTAAGGGACAAAATGTGTGGCAAGCACCAAAGGGATATAAACTAAATAGGGAGGCTTCTCAAGAAACTATGATGGAATTCATCGTCCAGTGTGTCTGGTGGTTTGCAGCTTGTATATCCGAATCAGCGTCAACAGAGAAGCCAATGTATTGTAATAAAGCTGGTGCTGCAATGGAATTGTCATATTGGCCCATCAATCACCAGATCAAGTTGCTCAGTTCCCTTCGGGATTTTATGTGCTTAACCAACATCATCCTCCTCTTGTTCCTTGGTTCGATGTTACATCCTAGAGTTTGTTTTAGTTCTTATTGAGAATTAGCTTCCCAGTGCTTAGAAGTTCTTGTTAAATCGATTTAAAATTTTAATTTTAAATAAATTGTATATTACTATTAAATTTAGGAGACAAATTGAGCATTTTACTTTTTCTTTTCACAAATTGGAGAAAACACTTGTTAACATATTATTTATTTATAATAAATTTTCCATATTATGCTTGTCCAAAAGTGGAGATTTCAAAATTTTAATTATTGGTCTTGCAGGTAAAGTTGATATAAAAACAGAATTCACTTGTGGTGATTCAACAGACTGTTAGTGTGTTTTGATAAAATTTGAAAAAAGACAACGAGAAATATGCGCATATGGTTAAAATGAGCATATAATTGTACATCCTACTACTGTCCATTAAAAGACATGTGCTAGAAACTCAGAGTAATGATGGCCGTGGCAGACAACTCTTTTTTCTCATCAACCACAAACAGTTATAGCTAGCTATTGTCTGTGCTTCATATCCTTCAAAGATCCTTCAATTCAACAATAGTATCTAAATTTTTGGGACTCTCATCTGTTTTTCTCAAAGAAACACTTGAAGAGTATGTTTGGTTGAAGGTAATGTAATGAAATATGTAATACAATCAAAAATATAATGAAATAAAATGTAATTAAGATTTCATTGTTATGTTTCGTAACGTGAATGAGAAAATTTATGGAATATAATCACAATTCATTTTTATGTTTGTTCATAAATAAATAATATAATAAAAATACTACCACCACCCATTACACTGATACTACCACCAATCACACCGACACTACTAATCATACCGACACCACCACCAACTCAAACACCATTCCACCATCATTACATCATTATTAATACAAATATGAACTAAAAGTTATTCATTATATTAAACTATTAAAAACTATTTAGATTTATAAATTTATTTGAATTAAAAATTAAAAGAAAGTAAACCAGAAAAAATATAACGTAATAAAATAAAAGTTAAAAGTCATTAGAAATTAATTTTTCCATATATTTTTGTTGAATATATTAAATTATAATATAAAATTATAGTTATTTTGATTTTTTTTAGTGGTTTTTCTTTCTATTCTTTCAATTCATATAATAAAATAAAAGAGTAAAACATAATTTTTATTTCATGTTCAGTATTAAACACTAAAATATAATTTTTATTATGTGGTGGTGGTGGTGGTAGAGTTGTGGTTGTTGTGGTGGTGGCAGAGTGATTAAGATTGTGGTGGCAGTGGCCCAGAGTGATGATTGTGTTGGTAGTGGTAGTGGCGATGGTGGTAGAACATTGGTGGTGATGATGGTAGTTGAGATGGTGGTGGTAGTTGAAATGGTAGTGCCGGTTGAGGTGGAGTCAGTGAAGTGGTGGTGGTGGAGCAGTAGTGATGGTGGTGGTGAGGGCGGTAGAGCGGGTGGTGGTGTTGTGGTGGTCTAGTGGTGGTGGCAGATCAATAGTGGTGGTAGAGCGATGATCGTGGTGGTTGTGACGGTGACATTGCAGTGTTAAATAGCATTGAGTGGTAAAATTTTTATTGTGGTAGCTTGATATAATGGATAATACATATATTTTTTTGATGCAATGAATATTACATTAATTTAAATAATGACGATTACATGAATAATCTCAATTACATTACATTGTAAAAAAAAAAAAAAACCAAACAATATAATCGGTCTTATAATGCAATCCCTATTTTATTACATGGTTGATTATATCATACCAAATATAACCTTAATGATTTCTATTTTTAGAATTTGAATTGCAAGCTTTTTTTATAATTTTAGTTTATCAAATACGGTATCAATTATTTTAATTGAAGGATTTAAGTTACACGTCTTTTTTTTAATTTAATGATTTTAATATGAACCGACTGCTTTGTTTTTTGAATATTTTCCTTCTCTTTTATTTTTAGCAAAAAATTTAACCTCTTCATTAAATACGATAATCATTTATAACAATTATATGCAAGTCTATTAATTAATTTATATTGGAGAAACGAAGGGTAAATTAGGTAAATATAGCAAATAATTATTAAGGTTGTATTCGACAACAGCTTTTGAAGTAGTTCAGCGTTTAGTAACATAATGTTTGAATTAACTTTTAGAAGTTAATGTAGCATTTTATAAAAAGTTAACTCATATAAACGTTTAACTTTTACTGTTTCATGAAAAACGACTCAAACAGCTAACAACTAAACACTACTAAAACAACTAATAATACTATCAAAACAGCTACTTTTGTCGAACAGACCCTAAATGTTGATAGATAAAAAGGTTAAGGAAAATTATTTTTAGATCCTTGAGGTTTTACAAAATACATTACTTCGTCCTCGCTATTTATATAAATTATTTTATAGTCCCTAATGTATGAATTCGTCTGACTCTATAATCTTTCCCTTGAAAAAGTAACTTTTTTTGCCGTTAATTTTACGTAAAAAGAAAAGACATAAATGCCTTTATTATATTATGTAAATGGAACCACAACAACTTAAAAGCAAAAAATAAAAAAATAAAAAATAAATCAACAACCATAAAGATATTAAAATAAAAAAAAATTCAAATACCCAAACATATTTTATCAGTAATAGTTGCCCTAACAATCTAAAAGCAATCCATTTATCAAATGCTCGAAATCAATTCCCAGGAACATTGTGTCGGTAATGCTTGCCCAACAATCCTGAAGCAAGCCTGCTTGTTCATATCATTTTTCTTACAATTTTTTTCCAAGTTTTACATCAAATAAACATAGAAAAAAAAATATATAGAATAAATTATTACAAATCCAACTCATTGCAAATCCAATAAAATCAAGAAAAAATTTGTGAGAAATAACTAATGGAGAAGTTGACCAACTAAGGAACCTCCTTAGTGCCCTGGGTGAAGCCATGGCTTCGAACCCATTTCAGAGCCAAGACAAAAGCATCGAGATTGAGGAAGGTAAGCGTTACTTTGAAGGAGACTTTTCCTCCACCACCACGTACCGTCGCAAATAAAATGAATTATGAACTGAAATCTAAAAGGAAATGATTATACGTACACTTTAAAAGGAAGTTTGAATCGGAGGTAAGCGTCACTTTTAAAGAGATCTTTCCTCCCCACCAGCACCAATCAATGAAAATAAAGCGATGAAATCCTTTGTAATTAATAACATTGGTTCCCGATCCATAAAAAGAGATAGAGATAGAGGTTGTTTAGGATGCAAAAGTTATGGTGATTGTTTAGGAGAAGGTGTTGAGGAGGTGACTCTGTGGATGGAGCATTGGTGAGAACGAAGCAGGGAGAGAGAGAATAAACGGCGGGATTGACTGATTTGTTTTGTGAATTCTGTCGATATTTCAAACTTTTTATATGAAATTAACGGAAAAAAATGTCACTATTTCGATGGAAAGAATAAAGAGTCAAACGGATTCATACGTCTAATGTATTTTATAAAACCTCAGGGACCTAGAAATAATTCCCCAACGTTAAAACTGTTCCTTCATGTCACAATGTAATATGATTTCTTTGAGTTTGAGGAAGTCATGGGTTTAATCAACTATTATTTTAACTTCGAAGTTACCTACATTTACCTAAATTGTGATTATATTTATAAATGAATATCATAGCATAAAGTGATTGATTTGCTATCAATCACACCTACCCAACTAGTCTTCATTAACACATTTCATTTCCCTTTCTATGCAATTTCATTATTGGCGGTTCAAAATACCTGCCATTTTCCCATATCAATCAAATTTATATTTACGCAAAATTAATTGTTTCAATAATTATATGTCGATAACTGTTTTATTAATATTTTATCAAAATATTTCACATTTTGCTTTCTAAAATTTAGATATTAGTATAAATATTATATCACCGAATACTATAAAATATAAATTTAATATTTTGATTTAATCAAAACATTAAATGTTACATCTCGTTAAAATAGGGTTTGCTTAGCAACAATTGTCAACTTGAATGTTTTCTTCATAACAAGTAGCTATCAGAAAAGGAACTATGGAAACCAACGGTGCAGATTCTCTCTAGTGTCCCATCATTATCACCAATTCATATATGTATTTGTGCTTTTAATAAATATTTTTTTTTCTTGCTTTTCATCTTTGTTAAGAAATCTTGAGTAGATAGATTCTTAATACCCTTATTTATATTTACAGACCCAAATGACATTAGAAAAGGGCAACTTGTAAACCATTAATTGGCTAACATCTGATCATTGATTGGATCAACAAAAGCAGATGCCCACTTCTTCTCTTGCTTTGTTCTTCTGCCACACGTATATTCTCACTCAACATACAAATTTCTAATTTTTATTACAATTACTCCTCTTAACATAGGTCAATACTTCTATTTTTTTATATTTTAATAAATTTAAAATGTTTAAGTATAGTTATCGGACTGAAATTATTTAAAATATAATCTTTTTTTTTATTTTTTAGTAAATAAAGATATAATTGTTAAAAAAATTGATTAGATTAAATGAACAATATTTAAAATTTATTTTAGTATGGACAAGCAAAAGTAAAGAAATTCTGAAGTTAGAAATTAATTGACATAAAATGAATATTGAATACTTACTTTAAATTACATCTATAGTAATTGTGTAATCAAATAAATTTTTAAATGTCTAATGATGGTTATTAAAAAAATTAGTAAAATAATAAAATATGCTTTTTTTGAAAAAATAATTTTGACTTTAATGTTAAACAATTCTTAATATGTCTCATATTTCAATCTTGGCGGACGAAATTAAAAGAAAAATATTATAATAAGAGAGAGAGTTATCTTACAATTGATTTATCTAATCGTAGAAAAATAAAAATAAAAATAAATTTAAGTCTGCAACTTGCTAGCAAAAATTCTTATTTTCTCCCATCTATGAATCTTAGATCAATAAATGGCATATCACATGGTGAGTCCAAGGCAACCTTTGAATCATTAATTTACTATATGGATTGAGTTGAAGGCAAAAAGAAGTTTGTAAAAGATTTATCTTTTAAGATTGTTAGTAGGTGTAAAGACCAAAGATTAAAGTAAGGTTTGAGGATCCATTTTTAATTTTTGTTGTTATGTTTTAATTATATTTCATATTTTAAAACAAGCTCATCAAATAATGGAAAACTGGAAATATATTACAAACTTTGCAGTTAATAGAGAGAAAGGTGGGGAGAAAGACATACCTCCAGGGAGAAATTAAGAGACTCAATCTTAGTTGTGCCCATTGCACTGACCACTGCTCAAAATACATAGGGTTTATTCGGAAAAATTAGCTGTTTTGCAAGCTGTTAATTGTTTTAGTAGCATTGAACTGTTAGTTGTTTGAATAACTTTTTATAAAACGCTAAAATTTAAATATTACATGAGTAAACTTTAAACTTTAAAAAATAGTTCAAAATAGTGTTTAGCTTTTTAACTAGTTAAAACGTTAAAAACTACTTAAAAAACAGTTGTCAAACACAACCATAATCTCTTATTTGTTGGCCAGCCAATTGCAGCACTAGTCCACTTTCTGCTCACCAGACGGAATATCAATGGTGAGTTAATGGTCGGTTTGAATCCAGTTGAGTTGAAGTGAAATTTGATAATAAAATTGAATTGGTTTAAATCAAATCAATTTGATTTGATCCATAAGATTCGGTTTTAAATAAATAAATAAAATTATTTTTACAAAATCGAATCAAAGCAATAAAAATTTTAGTCTAAATTATTTAATTTGACGATTAAAATTTCTTATGAGAAGTTAGACCAAACAAAATTTAAACAAGATCGGTTTAGATTTTGGGTTGTGATTTTACACACCTATAGAAAATACTTGTCTATGTTGGACATATATCTATTTACTTCCATGTCAGGTGTGTGATTGATTGTCATTTAAAATAATTATTGCTCTTCCTTTTTATTTTGTCTTTTTTAAGTGAAAAGATGCTAATTAATACCTTTATTTATGAGTAATCAAATTAATCGAATGAGCTGAAATAGCCATCAAACAAAAATAACACACCCAAACACCTAAACAATAGATGTTTTTTAATAAGTATTTTATTTTTATTAGATCGTCATTCTAACTCATTCACTATATGAATTTTCCTTATTTACGCTAAATTGTTATTACTTAAATTTGTTGAGTATATAAACTAATGTAATTTCATTCAAAAAAAAAAAAAAAACGTAATTAAGGTTCTATCTGTTTCTGTAAAATAACTTGCAGAAAAATACTTTTCATAATTTTTCATTGTTTGGGGCGCTCAGAAAAATAAGTCAACGGAAAATATTTTCCTTAGGTCATTTTTTAAGAAAAACAACTTCCTATTTTCGAGAAAGTAAAACATTTTTCGGATATTGGCAAATCTTATTAATTCATATTTTTTAATTTATTAATCATCATAGTCACAACAACCAGTCGCCATTTATCACTGCCACCGACGACTTTCATAATTTATATTTTTTTTGCATTTTTTCACATTTAACAATAAAATTTTTAAATTATAAAATTTCTATTTTAAATTATAATAATTTCTATTTTATTAAATATTTTTTATGATTTTATGAGATAAAAATATTTCTATTATTATTAATATTTTTTATGATTTTATGAGATAAAAATTTTAATATTTTTAACTAATTTTCAATATTAAAATCAAACAATGGTCATCTGAAAAATATTTTTCAAATAAAATATTTTCCATAAAAATATTTTTTAACGAATTATTTTTCTGTAAATTATTTTACAGAAATAAATGGAACCTTAAGTCTTTCTCACATCTAATTTCGGAAAAAATATAACTTTCCCCACATATCATTGGGCTAAATGTCCAATGATGAAAACAAAAATGCTAGCAAATTAAAAAAATTATAAAACAATCATGCCCACGAGGCAACTTCCGATAGGCCAACTGTATGAACTTTAAAATTAAAAACCAAATAACAAGAGCTCCTAAACAGAGATATTGTAAATGCAAGAAAAGCTTAGCAACAACATTCGCTTTTATAACCAAACATCAGTAGTCCAGCAGAGGATCTTCCAAACTCATTGGAGAACAAAAATCACTTTATAGAGAGAGAAAGAGAGAGAGTTTCTCCCAAGAGAGAGAAGACGACAAAGTGCACTTTGCATTATTTAATATATTAAAGAAAAAAAACAACAACCTACCAATCAATCAATCAATCAAAAACTCCATAAATTAAAGCTGCCAATAAATAAATAATGTTGCCTCTTTCTCGAGTTAATTATGCGTTGCCTCCTTTCTTTTGCTTGTGCAATTTATTTGCAGTGACGGGTAAGTAATATTGTAATAAGTCACCAAACCCCACGCAGCAACTTTCACTCCTCACTGTCACTGGGGTCTGTTTCTTTCTTTCTTTCTTTCTTGGTCTTTTTTCTGTTCTTTTTTCCCTTTTTCTTTGTAAATTTTGATAAGAATAGATTAACTTTTGTGTAATTTAAGTTAATATTTTTTCTGGGTTTGATTACTTTGTTCCAATTTTATCAGGGATGGGCAATGCTAGTGGCAAAGTTGATGAAGAAGACACTTCAGGAGAGGGTTCATATTTTGGGTATTATACGCCAGGTGTATACGCAGATGTAGAGCCCATGGCACACTCCCCTTCCAATAGCCCTACTAGATACCAGCAGCCTCTTCTCTCGTTGACTCCACAGGTCTGCTTTTTCCATATATGTATGTGTCTGTATCTCGGTGGTTGGACCTTGGGTTAGTTAAACTAAATTTTCTGTAATCAATTGAATCTTGTTTCTCTATATATATATTTTTTTTGTTTTTCTTTATGTTAAGTATTTAGTGAAGTTAATTGCTAATTTTTATATTAAAGATTGCTGTATGCCTTATTGGTTGTGAGAGTTATATATTTGCAAAAAGCATTGGGTGTTTTTATTTTAGGTGAATATACTAGTTGTCTGTCTTAGAGACATCATTTTGTTAAAATACTTTGGTAGTCATCACTGTGTAAGGTTATTACTTTTCTACTGTGATTATTTGAGTCATATGTGCAAGTCTTGAATAGATCTCTGTTTATTTTTGGAGATGCAATCATACAACACATAAAGATCAAATATCCAAGTTTTTGGAGGTATAACTAAAAGTCTAATGAAAATAAGTGACAAAGATCATCCCATTTGATTATACACAAATGCAAATTAAGAAAGTTCAGTCCTAAATAGAGCTAATGAAAAAGAAAAAAAAAAGAAAGGCTCATGTGAGTGAGACTTCAACCAACAAAGAATTCAAGAACTGGCTCCAACTAATTTGAGAGTAAGAGTTAAATGAGAATTCGAGTAATTTTAGTCGGATGCGTTGCTTGCAAGAGGCATTTTGTTTGCATAATTAGGCATGTGTAAACACAAATATAGGTGCATTTTTCTTTTTTTCACTTTCTGAATTGAATTTGCCAAAATTTAATCACCAGGTTCCTGCAGCAAGACCTTCTAAAGTGATGCATTTCCAGAATTATGATTGGGTGCAGAACACAATAGATTACAGGGATGCATTCAATGAGAAACTGAGCCCTGTAATAATAACATGGAGTTATGGTGGCAAGCAAGTTGCTGTCACTGGATCATGGGATAATTGGGATAAAAGGTTTTGAAATTATTTTTTCTGTTTTCATTTAGTTTTCATCTTCAGAATATACATTTTTTGTTCATCTGCAGTTCTTTAAAGAGAAAATTATCTGTTCATTTTCTCAGGCAGCCTTTGCATAGATCAGGTAAAGATTTTGTTATTTTGAAGATGCTCCCATCAGGTGTTTTTCGATACCACTTCATCGTTGATGAACTATTGAGATACGCTCCAGACTTGCCATTGGAATGTGATGATTCAGGGATTGCCTACAATATTTTGGATGTACAGGTAACTTGGCATGAACAACTCAAATGGCTAGCAAACACATTATGTTTTCTCTTATTATTAACTTTGTGGGTTTTCCATATATCTAGAATGCCAAGAGGCCTTGATGGTGGATTTCTACATTTTTATGGCACTGCCAGGAAGTTGAAAATTAGGTTGGACTAGATCCTGGGTTCAAGTCCTATGAACAAAATCAAAAGCCTGAAACTTTGTATTCCTTGAATTTCAGTTGACTAGAAAGCCAAAAGGTGTTGATGGTGAATAGCTGCATTTTTATGGCACTGCCAAGAAGTTGGTAGGATCCCAATTTCAGGTCTAATAATTGTAGTCTGCCCTTGCATTCTGCTACTCATATGTCGATAACAATTACACTGTGGCAAAAATATCTGAGTTTTGCTACTGAGTCCTCCCTGCTGATCGAAAAAGTGAACAAGGTCATGTCGATTCTTTGGTTTGCCTTGCTGGATTTGTGGACCCTTTATTTATATTAAACAAGACATATCAAGTCATTGCAGGTGTATTGCTCTGCACAGTAAATGAGTTTCTATGATTTTGTTTTAACTTTTGCATTCTGCTTTGCAGGAGGATGTTCCAGAAGCTCCAGAAAGCCTGTTGGAGTTCGAAAATCCTCCATCCCCAGTAACTAGCTACAATAATGAGTCCTTGGATGATAATGATTTCAGTAAGCAGCCTCCTGACATACCTCCACAACTTCAACTAACATTGCTGAACGACCGATCTTCTGCTGTAGAAAGTCAACAGTCACTGCCGAGGCCTCGGCATGCTGTGTTGAACCATCTTTATATTCAGAACAATCAAGCTCAGCCAGTTGCACTTGGCTCGACTGGTCGCTTTCTTCAGAAGTATGTGACTGTAGTACTATACAAGCCCTCACGGCGATGAAAGTAATACCATATTCTTTTGATTTATAGATATCAGGGATGGATTGATTTGACACAATGGACATTGTTATTATTGAAATTCATGGAAATGGTAAATTAAGAGAGGAAAAAAAAAAAAAAGAGCTGAGTGTAGAAAAAAGTTGAATTGTTTGCTGCAAAATTCCTTATTCAGTTGCAATTTTGAAATGATATTGTTCTTCTCTTTGTTGCATTTGTAAGCTCTGGTTCTTGTGCAAGGTTTCAAAGATGAAAGAAAAATACTAAAAAATTTACATAAATGAGAATGTCCAGCTGCTGCCCTTCAACATTCTGTGAGATTTTAGCAAACTGCAATTTTAGAAATTTTAGTAGAAGCGTCACCTGATGTAATTTGGAGTTTTTGCTATATACTTAAAAAATCTTTAGAGCAAGTTTTTAATGAACTCTAATCATCATTCCAACATATAGTGATTTTCTTACCAAAGAGCTCAAACAATAGTATCAAACAATTGCTTATAATCTTCTTCAATCATACAAGACAATTCAACTGGTAAACACAAATTGCAGATATGAGCTGCTTATATTAGCAGAACTAGTCACTTATTACAGGGAAAAAAAAAAAAACTCAGAATGTAGTTTGCTTGCTTCAGGAATGCACAAGATGAGCATCCCTAACTAATGTACAAATAATGCGTATCTATCTAAAAACTGAAATGACTGAATAAAATAAATCAATCCAAGATTGTCATTTTAGCTGCTATTTTATTGCTACATTTATAAACAAAATCATCGCACCGGTACCTTAATCCAACCATTAGCAAAAGCAATGGCTAAGATAACAAATGGAGTTGACATGCCAAATATGATAATATAAGGAAGAGGTGTCTTCATAGGATTCTCTCCTTCCCTTTCTCCTGCTGTTTGCCAATATCTGCAATTTCACCATTAATGAATAATTTCAAAATAAATGCAAATTCTATCACATGTTTTTTAAATTTCGAAATGTGCAAGCAAATAGAACAGAACACTTAACTGTTCAGGTTCTTCTTCTCTGGTTATGAATTTCTTCTTCCCTTTTGGCTTAAGTTCTCCATCTCCTCCACCTAAAAGTATCAATTATCAAAACAAGAATTAGTGAGAGCTATATACTATGTTCAATAATCGAGGGTCTGTCTTGTATTATTAGAGTTTCAGGGATCAAACCCTAACCCAAAAAATTAAAAGAAGCATTACTCACCAATGGCATGGATTTTGAAATGATGAGTCCTTTTCTTTGACGAACTAAGAGTGTAAGATACAGGAGATAATGGTGATAAATTGGGCAGGAAAGGTATTTGAGTGCTGAGGCAAGAAGAGAAAGCCAGTTTGGCTGCCATTTTCATAGAGCTTGTAAGCTATGTTTGCCCATTGATTCCTAAGTTATTATATATTTTTCACTTGATTTGAAGAAGAAATGGAGAGCCAGTAATATTTGCAGCTCAGAACACTAACCTTATCCAAACCAACAGACAACTAACATGAGCAAGTGACCCATTTCTCCCCCCTTACAAAGATTTAAAAAAATGAAAAATCTTTCTTCATTGTGTGTTGTAACCAATTATTGGCTCTCTAACATACAATAATTTAAAATAACTAGTAATTAATTTAACATAATCCCTTATTGAGAAGTTTTTTTTTTTTTTTTTTTTTTTTTTAATCTTTCTTCATTTTGTGTGTTTGTAACCCATTATTGGCTCTCTAACATAACAATAATTTAAAAATAATAGTAATTTTAATTTAACATAATTCCTATGAGAAGTTTTTTTTTTTTTTTTTTTTTTTTTGTTTACTTATTTAGAAGTTATATACATTTTTTTTTTTTTTTTTTTTTTTTTTGTTACTTATTTAGAAGTTATATACTCTCAATGTCACAAAAACCTAGTCCATCTTTCCATTTTGGTCTTTCCCAAAATTTAGTCATTTTACTTCTTTTATATTATACTCTATCTATTCCTAAATGCTTGCTATATTTGAGTATTTCGAGTTTCTTAAAAAAATATTAATTTATTTAAATTATTAAGTGAATTTACTATTCTACTCTTAATTTATCTAAATTACGACAAATTATCGAGGAATTGAAGCAATTACTATTGATTATATATAAATGATAAAAATGGAAAAAATTATTATTAATGAAATCCACGCATGTGATAAGTATTTGAAAAAATAATATTTTATCAATTGTGACAAGTATTTGAAAACGAAAGAATAGTTAATTTTTAAATTGTCTATTATGTTTTTATTAAGCTTTAGCTTCTTAAACTTCATTCTTCTTTTTTTTTTTTTTCACTCTTAAATTTTAAAAAGTCTTGTTAGTCACTCTCACTAATAGCAATTTATATATTTTTTTATTTTATATTATTAATATGAATTTTATTATTTTAATATAATAATTGCTCAATTATTATTTAAAATGAGTGTTATAAGAAAATTATGGTAATAAAATTGTTCAGTAAACATAATAATTTGCCTTTTTAATCTGTGTAAAAAAAGAAAATGTACTATACATTAGGGAATGTAAATAAATATACGTATAAATATACTACATTAATACATACAAAATGTACAAATAATAGATATAATATATAAATATACGATAAAATAAATGATTAATTTTTGAACATGAAAAAGTAAATTTTCAGCTTTCAAATTAGAGGTTTCGAATTCTGAGTCTTCTCCAAATTATTTCGATCCATTTAAGCTTATATGTATTAAAAAATAATTTTCGGCACATCAAAGCATTGCCTAAATAATATGTGCATGTATACCATCTAGCAATATATTCGGCCCGCCCAATATTCAGAAAAAGAAAAAGTAAATTTGCATTGCATAAAAGACTGAAAAGAGATGTTTTTTTTTTTTTTTTTAAAGCAACTCAAAAGAGTTTATTTACAACATCATTCCAGCGAATGGGGAGCTCAACAAGTGGCCTTCCAAAGCATTGACCTTTAGTTCCGTTTCTACATATCCTCCTTTGCTGAACAAAACTAAACCCTTTAACTATATATCTTCATATACTTGTTTTTTTGGATCTTTTATTCAAAATCTATAAATTATATAATAAGTCTTTGCCTTTCATTTTTCTTTTTCAAGCTTCCATTTAATAGTCCTTCCTTGAAGTTTCCATTTCTTGATTATAATTTGAAAGCTCCGACTCCAACTACTAAAGAACAAAATTTTCTCCAATTAAAAATCCCAACAAAATTGCAAAAAATTTTCTTTCATAACTTGGAAAATTTAATCTCCGCAACCAAACTGTACAACCCAGATTTTGTAATCGCATAAAGCCCCTACTATTGTGTTTTACATATGGGTTTTTCGTTTTCACCCCTAAAACCCAGTGGTCTTTGATCTACGTACAGCAAGGGTTACTTTATATGAGCTCCGGCAAGCAGCCGGCTACTATCTCCGTCGACCTTAATGAGGTTTAAGGTACTCACTCTCTCTTTCTCTCCATGAATCTGTGGGTTTAATTTGTTAGAATCCCACCAACTAAGCCGGATTCAGAGTTTATTAGAATTTGCTTAATGGGTTGCTTCATGATTCAACTATTGCAATTAAAGCATAATCTATTATTCTAAATACATAAAATACATAACCTGTTTTTCTTAGTTTGCTTTGCGTCAAAGGCTAAAACAAACAATTTTAGAAAGGAAACGAATGCTCTTCATCAATCAGTGCTTCTGGAATATAAGTAAATTCTTTTATATCTGGTAAATTTTCTCCGTTTGTTCAAAATAGTCTTTTTTTTTTCCCTCTCTTTCCTATCTAATTCAGTTCTGTAGTTACGTTTCTTAATGAACTTCTGCATTTAACGTACACTAAAATACTATTTGAGTATTATATCTACTCTTTTGGGAATAACCATAATGAAATGCCCATATTTTTGTGTCGTGGTCTTTGAATGTGAATTGTGAGACTAAAGATTGTAGAAATTGTGTCTCTGTTCATTTATGGATGGCTATAAGTCCAACCGGGAAGTTTGACAATCAAGGCCTGTGAATCTTTGTATGTTGAGAAGTCTATCGAACTACTGTTTCTTGGTCAGACAATAGGAAGAAATATATATATATATATATATGAACTATTGTAGTTTTAATTGCAACTCATCAGAATGTTTGTCTATCCTTTATGTTTTGAATCTGCCATTCTCCTATCTTTGTTTGTATATTTGGAGGTTGGTTTTATCTTCATATATATATATATATATATGAACTATTGTAGTTTTAATTGCAACTCATCAGAATGTTTGTCTATCCTTTATGTTTTGAATCTGCCATTCTCCTATCTTTGTTTGTATATTTGGAGGTTGGTTTTATCTTCATTTTTGAATTATTTTAAACTTTTTTTTCTTCTTATCTTTTGCAAACTTAAATGATTTTTCTTATTTTTCAAAATTTAAAAAATATAGTTTAATTATGAACAATAACAATATAATCTATGTTTTTATTTTTGGAGGTTTGTTTTATCGTTTTTCTTTCTTTCTTTTGGAATTGTTTTAGACTTTTCTACCTTGTGCAGATTTAGGTGATTTTTCTTGTTTTCCAAAATTTAAAAAATACAGTTTAATTCTGAAATTGTAGAACCTCTTCTTTATATTGATTCTGTCATCAGCAGGAGAGAGATTTGATTCTACTTCATGGGTTTGGAGGATAAGGAGGTGCAGATGCTTCAATCTTTTCCTTGAGGCGTGAGGACAATTCTTAAGGTTTATGGCAATTATAATTTGGCTTTCCAAATCAATTAACATATTTTTAGGTTTTCAGTTTTGATGTTTCTAGCTGTAATTGAAGTGAGATGTGTATGATTGTTTTGTAGTTCTTATGGCTGCCAATGGCAAGAGAAACCGCTTTAAAGCCGGAGCTGTTCGCCGATTTATTTCTCTAGCACTAGTTACAGTATTGGGGGTTTTACTACTGATTGTTCTACTTGGAACAAATTCAGGTTCAAATCTTGGGACACGGTCTCTAAATGACACACTTGATAACTTGAGACCAAGTTATAATTATTCAACACTTGATCTCCCCAGACAAACTGAATTGTCGATTCAATTGGAGAAGCTTAACCAGTTGCCCCCTAGGAATATTGATCTATATCCAACTTTAGCCAAGGATCATATAACCATTGTTCTATATGTTCATAATAGGCCCAAATATCTCCAAGCAGTTATTCAGAGCTTGTCGAAGGTAGAGGGAATAAGTGAGACCTTACTCATTGTTAGCCATGATGGCTACTTCAAAGAAATGAATAAGATTGTGGAAAGTATCAAATTTTGCCAAGTGAAACAGATATTTGCCCCTTACTCACCCCATCTCTTTCCTGATAGCTTTCCTGGTGTTTCGTCTGATGATTGCAAGGATAAGGATGATGCAAAAGCGATGCACTGTGTAGGCAATACCGATCAATACGGAAACCATCGGTCACCAAAGATTGTGTCATTGAAGCATCACTGGTGGTGGATGATGAACACAGTATGGGATGGACTGAAGGAGACAAAGGAGCAGTCAGGTCATATTCTTTTCATAGAGGAGGATCATTTCATTTTTCCTAATGCTTATCGCAACTTGCAGATTCTCGCAGCATTGAAGCCTCTGAAATGTCCAGATTGCTACGCTGCAAATTTGGCACCTTCTGATGTGAATTCGAGAGGAGAAAACTGGGAAAGTTTGGTTGCTGAGAGAATGGGAAATGTGGGTTATTCCTTTAACCGAACTGTTTGGAGAAAAATTCATATGAAAGCAAGAGAATTTTGTTTCTTTGATGATTACAATTGGGATATAACAATGTGGGCAACAGTTTATCCCTCATTCGGTGGTCCTGTTTACACACTACGGGGACCAAGGACTAGTGCTGTTCATTTTGGGAAATGCGGTTTGCATCAGGGTCATGGAGAGAAAAATGCTTGTATTGACAATGGTGCATTAAATATTGTAGTAGAAGATACTGACAAGGTGCCAAATATAAATATGAAGTGGAATGTGCAAGCTTATGAGCATCAGCCAGGGTATAAAGCCGGGTTCAAGGGCTGGGGAGGCTGGGGCGATGACAGAGACCGCCAGCTGTGTTTGAAATTCGCTGAGATGTATCACCTGACAGGCACTAGTTCTACAATCTGAGGATTGTGTTTTGATATTTGAAGTTATCTTACAATTATCATAGGTGAGGTCCTAAGAGAGTTGAGAATGAGCTGAGATGTATGATTGTAATATCTTACAGATTTTTGCACGTTGCTTTAATGAAACTTGTTTTTGGTAATTATTCTTTCAATTTTCAAATCTGTTCTGCTGCTTTAATTTTTTTTTCTAATGTCTCCAGTTCTAACTTGGGAATGGACTTCGGATTTTTGGTTTCCAAATACAGTTTGTGCATTAGTTGCTGAAACTGGATAGCTTACTGCATATCGGAAAGTTGATTAACTCTGTAATCCCAGAGTTTGATCAAGTTTCATGGAGTGATGTATTTGTCTGATTCAAAGGTATAAATTTCTTAAAGTGCAGAATTTTGCTTTGAAATGATGTAAGCTGGTCTGGGTCTTACTAGAGTAGCTGTCTGTGTCATATCTTTCAAATACGTTGGAAGCCAAGTTGTCCTATGAATAGTCCATTGTTTGATCATTTTATTGTCTTACTAGGAGAAAACAGCACTTGTAACTTAGTTGGAAAATTGAGTCTCTCAATGCATTGGATTAACCAATTAGTGCATCAAATTATGAGAATTTTTTTTTTCAAAGAAGTTTTCTCCTGTAATTAAGTTACTTATACGAGAAGATACAAGAACCTGCGGTTCATGGCTAGGATGAGAATGAACCAGTCCTTAAGATTTCAGTTCGGTTTCAATTCATTCAATTTCGAATCGATCCAGATCTCGGCAATTGGGGTCGTGGGTTTCATCCCCGTTCCAATTCCGTCCTATTTTTTAAACTTTTTCAATCGACATTTTTTGTCTTGTCCAGTCTCAAAAAACTTGCGAGATGGACCAGAAATCGAGTCTTATCCGCTAATTCCGGTTTGATTCAGAATTGATATTTCCAAACTGATCACTTTTTTATTCTGTTCTAGTTCAATCCCGATTTGAATCTGACCGTGGCCAGCTCTCATTCCGTAATTTTCAAAATTGTACATATTTAAATTATGAAAAGAAAAAAAAAATCTACCCATTAATTGATATTGAATGTTCCTTATCTTTAAAAATTGATCCCTTCTTTCACCTTTCTTATAAAATCATCACATTTCTTGTTCAACTCTTCTACACTCAGCAATCCAATGTCTTCTTCTTCGTCTTCGCCTTCTTCTTCTTTATGAACGATAACAATCTCATTTTCTCGTTTGTCAGCTTCATCTTGGGCGGAAAAGGGAACAATACCCGTTCCTCCTAGCATAACCAAAGACTTGTTCAGTTCTTTTTCTTGCCCTTCTTTAACTTCAATGACCATTCTTTTCTCTGGTTTCTTAATTGTACTACTTTCTTGATTAGAATTGCCAATCAGACCAGAATTCTTGAAGATAAAAACAAGAATCCCATTGCAGAGAAGGAAAATGTAATTCTTGCCAATGTTAGAGTTAAAGAACCGCATGAAATTGAAACTTAAAGTAAGCATTGAAGAATAAAATAGCAAAACAGAAAATAAAATTGCTACGTCTTCAAACTTAGCGGGTAGCCAGACAAAGTGGGAAGAATTGTTGGATTTGCTTGTTAGCTTGGTTTGGTCTTTCTGATTCTTGATTGACTCCATTTTCTTTCAAAACAAAAGGTGCTTATAATGACTACTTTTAACTCTAGGCTCTATATATATACAAAGGTGTTAAGTTTTAAGGGCAGAAATGCCCTTGCTTATTGGGCACAAATATTTGGTAAGTTTAGGGTACTTTAGGAATTGACCAAGTCAGTCAACTAATTCTAATAATGTAGGGGGTGACCTAATTATTAACCTTTGAAGGTAATTTTCTAGGTATTTTACCAATTAACAGTGGACAAAGATGACTGGTTCTTGGTAGTTTCTTGGCCTTGAAGCACCATTTAATTATTCAATCCTAGTACTTGAAAGAAATTAATGTGTTACTAGAACAATGGAATTGCTTGGTAGATTTTTTTTAATTTCACTTATTTCTTGTCTAAAATGATTTATCTAGTATCTTATATTATATGATTATTATTATTATATGGTCTGAAATTGCTGAGAAGAAAGAAATTTGAAATTCTGGGACTACAAAGAATTGACCAAGTCCGTCAACTACTCTTTGGCTTATCTTCCAGCATGCATATGATCAGTAGAAGACTAGTACAGAAATAAATAAACAATTGACTCATTCATCTATTTTATTTGTCCGCTTTCAATATAAGATCCTAAGCACGTGATAGAAGATAGAACTTCCAAGAAAGAAACCTCAACAAAATTTCTGAGAAACTTGCTAGAAATGAAAATGAATTGTCCAGGTTTATGATACTGTAAAGGTCTTCTTATTTTCGTAGTGCAAATTATTATATTTAATACTCTAAAATAATCATTTATAACTCCTCCTTCACCCATAGTTGGAACTTCTGATCATTACTCAACACATCCATCACCCATTTTATTATTCAGGCGAAAATGATAAATTGTAAATAGGTTAATACATAAATTTATCACCGAATTATTTTAGCGGTCGTTTGCATCTATTAAATGATTTTCGACTTTCACTTCCTTCAATAACTATGTCCCTCGTCACGTAGAAAAGAAAGAAGGTGCATTAAATTGCATTTGAGAGGGTGAACATCGATTTTCTTTGCTGTGTGGATATCCAACATGATATGAACAACAGTCATGATTGTCAATCAGTTTAAGAAACTTTTTTTTGCCAATTTCTCTCTCTAAAATCAATTTCATAAACGACACCTATCTCTCTCCTTTTCTCGTTTGATTTTGTTTCTCTAACTAGAATCAATTTAAAAAGGACAAGATCTGCAAAGGAATTAAGAAATTTGAGCTGTTTGAAGCTAGGTTTTGTGTGAAACTTCTCTTACCTCTTGGTCTGCTTTTGATATTGAAGAGTTTATTGCATCAGATCCCGTTCATGGTCCCGTTGTAATCTTCTCTCTCCTGCTCATTTGGGCTTTGACATTCTTTAATTCATGTTTTCTACTTGAGTTTTGTTTCGAGTCCCTACCCTTTTTATTATTTTCTTGTTTCATTGATTTTTATTTTTGCTCTCAAATTTATTCATCAGGGTATCTCATATTTTCGTGATGGCTTAGATTTTCTTTTTTTGCCTTCTGTTGTGCCATCAAAATTTGTTTTGGGGTGCTTTTCAGTCAAAGCTACCGGCCGAGAAAAACTTAGTTCAGTGATTCAAAGCAAGTTTTTTTCATAGTCAGTATTTTTAATCTACGTGGATTAAATTTAAATACACGTGTTATTATTAAAATTCACATCAATGAGCATGTTAACACACATTTTTTTTTTATTTTTTTTGAGGGACATAGTTACTAAAAGATTTGTTAATACATGGTCATGATAGAACTCCCGCAAAATTTTGACTGTGTGGGCTGGGAATATAATACAGTCTCGATTCGAGCCTAAATTTGCCAGTTAAGCCCAAGCCCAAAAATATATTATCAAAAATTTCGATTTGAGAACACTTAAAATTTTTTTTAGGAATAATATAGAACTCCACCTACTAATCTATTATAAATATATATCTATGTGTGTGACTACTATATAAATAAAATATCTTAAAATCAAATCAAATATCATGATTATTATGATTATTATTGAACAAATCAATGACATGTTCTAGAATCTAACAAAATAATTATATATATATATATTTAAATTTATCCTTAAAATCAAATCAATAATTCATGATATTAATGATTATTATGAAACAAATCAATGACATGTTCTAGAATCCAACAAAAAAATTTTAAAATATAAATATATACTATATATAATACATAAATCAAACACGAACACCCGGGAAATTATATATATATATATAAATCAAACCGAACCCGGAAACCAACTTGATTCTTCAAAAACCAGTAAAAAATCCGAAAACCAAGTAATTGAGCCAAATCATTAAATTAGATCGAACCGATTCGAATCAAACCAGAATGGTCTAGAAGCTCCAGATCGTTCCTTCCTTCCTTTTTCTTTTCTTCTCCTTCTTCTTCCTCCAACGCGCGCGACAGCCTCCTCTTCTCCCGATGCACTGCGTTTCCGGCCACCGCAAAACGAGCACGAGGTGGCGGACGACTCACCTTGTGCCACTGACTAAGTTTCTAGCCTCCTCTCACGCGAACGGAGCTCCTGCGGCGTGATCGGACCTGTTTCCGCAAACCGCACCCTGCTCTTCGATTTTTCGGCGAAATCTCGCTGTTCAGTGGATATTAGGCATCGGGAAGGGACCCAATCGACTCCTAGTCACCTCCAGAACATTTCCCCTCCATTAATTTTGAAGATGGAGCTCGTGAAGTGGAAGTGCCAGTGAAGGCGGCGGTGAAGCGGCTGTCGAACTGCTTTGTCCAATTAGAGGGCCGATCTCACTAAACTAACGCCGGAAATGGAATCCGGTGAATTTTGAGTCGAATGGTATGATCGTTGCAAATTTCTGGGCAGTTTTGACTTTTCCGGCCACGGTGTACGGCGGCGGCGGCGATACTCCGGCGAGGCACCAAGAGACAGAATCTTCATCTCCTCGCGTGGATCCTGGAATCGTCACCCGAATTTCGATCAGTACGTCCTAAGATCTATTTTCTGATTTGTGTTATAAACTTTGAATTTAAAACTATTAATTGATTAAATTGAATTTGCATAAATAATTAATCAACTATAATCCTTCCTAGGAATTAGTTAACTGGTATAATGTAGTTGTCTTGAACATTTCAAAAACGTATTATTGCATTAAAATTGATATTTGCTATATCATAACATTAATAACCTATAATCTTTCTAGGAAATTAGCTTTTAACGTTGGTATAATGTAGTCACAAAATTTAATTTTTAACATGTTAAATAAACTACATACATTAATATTTATAATCATGAATTAATATTATAATTAGGTGATTTGGGGAGGAGATAAATTAGAATTAATTAATTAGTTAATTAGATGATCATTAGTCTAAAACTAGTTGGTTGTGCACGAGAAAAGTAAGACGAGTTTTAGTCGGTTAAGGTTAGATGCGAAATTTTGATAAATTAAGGTTCAGGAGGCCTAACCACTTTCGACATTGACATAATAATCGAATTTAAATAGGTAGTTGATATAATTAGTTATTGCTAATTTAAATAGGTAGTAGATATAATTAGTTAGTGCTAAAGTAAATTTTAACAGCTTAACAAATTAGTTACCATAAAGCTATTAATTTAGTTAACTTATGATTTATTAAATAATATTATATGGATTAGATTTCTTTATGGGTCAATGATTCCACCCATAGACCAAAAAAATTGTTTCAATTTACCCTTTTTTTTTTACTCAGTGAATGACTGTAATACTCATTAAAAAATATAGAAAAATTAAAACAAAAATATTTTGGAAGTAGGTAGGAAAAGAATATATTTAGTTATTTTTAAATGGTTGAAACAATAGACTTTCTCTTTTATTTATAAAAAATACTTCTACCTGGCCTTTGTGAGGGTCTTCGTTTAGCTAGGAGCCTTGCCATTCCTAGGTTGATTGTGGAATGTGATAATGCGACGGTGATTGCTGATGTTAATGGGGTGGAGGAGGTCGCCGGTGAAGGTCTGCCTTTACTCTCTACCATTTGTAGTCTTATTTCTCCGAGATGGGATTGTACTGTTTCTCATATCTACACGGAGACTAATGGGAATGTTGATTTCTTTTCTAAGCTTGCTAGAGCCTAAACCCAAAGAGTTACCGCTTGCACTTCAAGATGCTTTTTTCTATGATACGTGTGGTATAGCTTTCTATGATACGTGTGGTATAGCTAAGGCAAAATTTGTAGCTAGTATTTAGAACTTGGCTCTCTCTTCCATTATCAAAAAAAAAAAAAAAAAAAAAAAAAAAAAAAAAAAAAAAAAAAAAAAAAAAAAAAAAAAGAAATTTACCTAGTCTTTTAAAAATAATAATATGTTTGGAATAAAAAGAAAAAAGATAAAGCAAAATATAGACACAAATCTCGTAATCTTTTTCGTAACTCGTTCAAAAATAAAGCAATATATCCTTAAGATTATGGGTATCCATATCCTTAAGATGATGTGTATAAGCCGCTGCTTTAGAACTCTGCTTATACAGGTAAAAAAGAAATGCAAAATTATTTTTGGTAGAAAAAGAAGGCCATAGCCTTAGAGACAGAATCTGGAGTATGCTACTCCAGTAGCATCAAACCCAACGGGCATGAATCCAGCATGTGACTACCTAACGAAAAATTCCCCGCAAAACTGGGAACCCAATTAGCGCATACATTGGCCTCCCTATACACATAAAAATTTTGAAGTTATACATTTCAGAATTTCAATCAAATCAAATTCAAATAATTATTTTTATTTTAACGTTGGAATTCCAAAATTAATTTTTAAGTAAAAGTAAGTTTTAAATATTAAAAAGGTAGTGATAAGATATACTTTATTATCTTAAAAATTTATAAAAAGAAAAAAAAAAAGAGAAATACGAATACCGAATGGAAAGAACGCGATGTCAGCTTTTTCTAAAAAAATAGTGATAAGATACATTTTGTTATTTTAAAATTTTATAAAACAAGAAGAGAAAATACTGAATAAAAAGAGTGCCAGATCAGTTTTACGAATGTAATAGTCGAAAATTAAA